CTCTGGAGCTGCTGTGCGAGAAGTCGATCGGCACCGCCAACCGGCCGATGGGCGCCGGCGAGGCCCTGCGGAGGGTGCTGGAGTGCCTCGCCTCGGGCATCGTCATGCCAGGTTAGGTGGTTCTCTGCATTTCCCGTTTCAAAGCGAAGCCGAGGCGAAAGGCGGGTGAAGCTCGGGGGCGCGGTCCCGTCCCCCCTCTGGCCCGCGCGGGCAGCTCAGGACGCCCCCAGCCTCCGCGGGGACCTTGGGGCACGCGTGTTCGGAGCTCCGGACCCGCCACGTTAAACCCCCCCCTCCCCCGGTAGAGAGAGGTACCAGTTCCTACGAGCGTAAAAATTGGTTCCCCGAGGGGTCGTGACCAGCCCGGCTGCTGCTCGTACGTGTGCCGTAGCCCAGCCGAGTTTCAGAATGTCGGACGTTGGATGGATCATGTCGGTCCGTGTTCTCCGAGAGATGAGTGTTGATTGATGCCAAGGGAATACTTAGTTTAGTCTCTTTAGAAAACACCAGGATAATTCTCTGCATATCTTCCTTGTTTCCTGCCTTCAGATGGTTCTGGTATTTATGATCCTTGTGAAAAAGAAGCCACTGATGCTATTGGGCATCTAGACAGACAACAAAGGGAAGATATCACACAGAGTGCTCAGGTATAGTTTTGACTACAGATGTTACGGAAACTTAAATCAGTTGGCCTGACTCTGCACTTCCATGCTGGTTGATGGTAGTATAGCCGCCCCTCGGAGGTCGGGGTTACCTCGGGTAATACCCAGTCCAGTAAAAGAAACGCCAGTGGGTCCCGCGCCCAGAAGGAATTTGTAGCTTGGCCAACCAGAAGCAAAGTATCAGGTTTTACATAGTGACTTGCTACCGTGACCCGTATTTTGGGCTGAACCTCACCCCTTCAGAGAGTCCTCTTTAAACCGATGAGGATTTCGGTGTAGGGGTGGGCAGAACGTTCCTGGCTGAAACTGCACCGGGAACGGAGCGTGGCGGAGCCGCTTGCGCGCCCCGGTTAACGCCCGTGTCGTCTTTCTAGCACGCTCTGAGGCTTGCGGCTTTTGGCCAGCTTCACAAAGTCCTGGGGATGGATCCCCTGCCTTCCAAAATGCCCAAGAAACCAAAGAACGAAAACCCCGTTGACTATACTGGTAGGTGCTTGGCGGGGGGGGGGGAGTAAACCAGCCCCAAGTGGCGTTTCCCGGGCTCTCGGGGCTGGCAGCTGCGGTGCTCAGGGGGTGCTGTCGCGGTCGTTGCAGTCCAGATCCCTCCCAGTACGACGTACGCTGTCACCCCGATGAAGCGTCCGATGGAGGAGGACGGAGAGGAGAAATCTCCCAGCAAAAAGAAAAAGAAGATTCAGAAAAAAGGTGAGAGTAAACCAGCCCCAAGTGGCGTTTCCCGGGCTCTCGGGGCTGGCAGCTGCGGTGCTCAGGGGGTGCTGTCGCGGTCGTTGCAGTCCAGATCCCTCCCAGTACGACGTACGCTGTCACCCCGATGAAGCGTCCGATGGAGGAGGACGGAGAGGAGAAATCTCCCAGCAAAAAGAAAAAGAAGATTCAGAAAAAAGGTATTGAGTTAACGAGAGGTAGGTACCCCGGCTGCCCGCGAGCTCTTCGGGGCGGGAGGGCTCGGCCTGGGGCGCTGCTGTAAACTGGGGGCGCGGGAGGGTGGAGGCCGCCTTCGCTCCGCGAGGTTTTTCCCTTGGTGGAACTGAAACGGGGATGGGAATCTGTCTGCAATCAGCTGTGCTGCTTCGAAAGAGGCGACAAACTTGGGGTTTGCGGTGTTTGGTTTTTTTTTCTCCGCGCAGAGGAAAAACTCGAACCTCCGCAGGCCATGAACGCACTGATGAAGCTAAACCAGCTCAAACCGGGGCTCCAGTACAAACTGGTCTCTCAGACCGGCCCCGTCCACGCCCCGATCTTTACGATGTCCGTGGAAATTGACGGCAGCACCTTTGAGGCGTCGGGACCTTCCAAAAAAACGGCCAAATTGCACGTGGCCGTGAAGGTAAGAGCCGGCTGCGCCCCCCCAAATCCCTGCCGGAGGGCTGCCGGGACGAGGCGCTGCGG